GGGGGGTGTGGGGGACGTGAAACGTACTTAAAGACTAAAGAACGAACCACCCCTCGTTCGTTCCTCTCGATGAGCGGCAGTTCCACCTCTCCGTCTCACGCTTTCTCTCCCATTTAAAACTTACTCACGCAATTAAGGCACCCTCGTTACGCGCCTATCTCGTTTCTTTCTTTCTCCTCGAAGGATGTCGCGGGGCGTGCAGCCCAACCCTCTGTACGTTTGTTAGATGTTAGAGAGGACGGACAAAGTATTCCCAGCAAAAGTCGACACCAGCCACGAGAAAGAACACATCGTATCGTAGAACATGGACGTATAATATATACACGCACACCGGGTGTGCGTCTACCAGTTATTTTCTTTGCTTTCCGCATAGTTTGTCAGCATATAAGCGTCGTCTACGATGATTTGTTCCCCTCCGTGGCGGCCAACAGACGAAGCGCGTAAGATTCGATTACCCGCGTTGATCGTGGGTTAGTCGTGTTACAGACAGAGTGTTGTAAGCGTTAGTGCAGAGAATCGTAAAAGTGAAGAGAAGAGATGAAAACCGCAAGTGTTTTAGCCCCCCGATGCTGTACGCGCGTAGGATGAGAAGCAAGGAGAAAGAAAGAGTGACACGGACGAGATCGAGGGTGCTCGATTATCCGTAGATACTTACTGGCAACGCCGGAGGCATTCGGGTCCTTGTGGGTGTGCTTCATGTGCTCCATGAGAGCCTCACCGCCGAGGAAGAGTTTGTGGCAGACGGGACAGCTGGTTGCGTTCGGGCCGCCGATCAGGGCGGCGTGTTGCTGGAACACAACACGCTGTTGCAACTCCTTTTTTGCGGGGCCGGAAGAAGAGGAACCGGAAGCAGGCACACGCGGCGCACCGTAGAGAGCAGCCGACCCACAGAATACCACCACAGAGTGTCGCGAACCAGAAGCGCAGGACAGGCAGCGCACAGAACAGAACGATTGACCAGTGAGAGTTAGGGCACCGATTGCCGCCGCCACCACGGACTATTTTCATTTTGCAAAGGGAATTCGCCTCGAGTGTCTGGCAACAAGGAATTCACGGGGCTGGGAGAACCTTTCGTCTCTCAAAACGCGTCGACCGCCAGATTTCACATTTTTCGACATACAATATTACAATTTTCTCTTGAGATCAATCTACCTTTCCAAACTGCTCTCTCACTGACCAATTTCATACTCACATGAACTCCTCTGTCATTCACAGAGAGCTGCTGTTCGGTTAAATCAAGATTTTCATCTTGATTTATTGCGCATACGCGAACATTTAATCTTTTTTCCAAGAAATCGTCATCTTGGCAATCTTTTAAGCCCTTGAAAATTTTAGATAAATCCTGATCATTCTGGCGTTCAACGCGTTAATCGCGATTGGTTCCTCGGAGACATTGATGTTGAAGCTGAGGAGGAAGGATCTTTCATGTTATCGTGTGCGGGAGGCAAATGAGATATTTTCTTGTTTTAGGTTTCAGTTTCCTGTACGAATGGTTAGGTGTAAGCTGGAAGAGGTTCGAGGGGGGCAGGAAGGAGAAAGCGAAGTCCAGACAGACGAATGTTTAAAAGCGCGAGGTCTGCAGAGCGATCGGAGCCAACGATGGAAAGATAAGTTACATAAAACGATTGCATCTCGTTGATCTCCGATCGATCTGGAGCTCGCAGACTCGAACGGGAATGCGAAGCATAGATCACAAAACGGCTAGCTACTTAGACACAATTACGATATGGCCTCTGTTGCTTGTGCCGTGTTTCAAGTTTCAAGTATCGATCGAAAGCGTTTCCTGTTGACATTTCTCATTTCTGCGCGAGCACGAGTGGCAACAAAGGCCATTCTTTCAACAGGTACAAAAAATGAAGTGATATGAACGAAATACGACGTCCTCGTTGTAAAGTATCTGTCTCCGTCGTTCGGTAGTGGCCTCGCGTTAAGGAACAGTTTCGCGGTCGTATCGGTATACGGTTTCGATCTGCGATTTTTTTTTCTCGTTGTTCTCTCTCCCGGTTTTTCTCTCTCGCACACACGCGAAGGTCGGTTATATACGTACGTACACGAGGCGGCAGGGGAGACGCGGCGAGGAAAAACATGGTGGCCAACCTTGCTCGAAAGAGTGCTTAAAACGGCGCGAAAAAGAATACGAAGAGTGGAAAGGTAAGAAGAAGGAGGCGTACGAGGTGGGAGGAAGGAAAGGCTAAAATGAGACCGGACGACAATGACCCGAAAGTTTTTGGGGTCTCGCCTCGTTCCTTTCTTCCTGCCTTCCTCCTCCGCCCCAGCAACGACATCGATACAACGCATCCTTCTCCTTTTTCTTCCTCTTCTTTTCCGTTTTCAACGCGCCGTGTCGTCCTTCTCCATCACCCGCTCTCTTTCTCTCTCTCCCTCCCTTTCCCGACCTATCTCTACCGCAACAACTCCGTACCCTTCTTTCACCCCGGACCTGGGACAACTTCGCGGCTCCGAGGCGATCGACGCAACCAAGGAGACCCGAATATCGGACAGGACCAGTTTAAAATAAGACCAGACGTCGTCGACCTTACGTTTCGGCCAGCCAATTCCCTCTTCTTCTTTCTGTTTACTTCCTCCCTCCCTCCCTCCCTCTAGCCGCCGCTTCTTCCCCCTTTCGCGAACAATTTCGCGCGAGTATTTTTAGCGAGGACCTTCCTTTCCTTCGTTCGACGCTGGATCACGTACTTTTTAGCCTACGCGGACTAATTGCAAGCGGACGCGATGCTCTAACGGACCAAAAGTATCTTCAGAAATTATACGAATTGTTTGTAAATTTTATAACGGGTAATTTTCTCGAGAAGCTATCAATCAGACTGGAAAGTGTCGTTTAGAGATAAACGCGTTTAATATTTCAGTACCTCTCCATCTCTAGAAATCTCTTTCTAGAAAATTGACGCAACATTCTTGAAATGTGTATCTTTCGAGAAATGCATGTAAAAGTCGATTTAGAGAAATGTTTACAGAGCTACAGGGAAAAATGAAAAATACGTTTTTCGTGTTTCGTACGTGTTTGAAATAGTGTTGTTTCCCTTGCGTTGAAATTTGATAGTTTGCGGATCGAGCAATTGTTGACAAGTCCACGCGTCAATTCTCGTCGCGTTAGGATTCCTTTTACTTACACTCAATTTAATCGAAAAATAAGATTTCGAAATGATTTCTCTCAAATTAATTTATTCGATCCCAATGATTTTTTAATGGACAAATGTTTAAACATGTCTCTATGTCACAAAGAATTCTATATTTACTTTGCTTTTGTGATTAAAACGATAAGTGTATTATCACAAAAAGATTATAATATACACAAATAAAAATTTGACTATTATACTTCTAATTGTTTAGTAATTTAAGTTAACGTTATCTCAAAGTCTTATTTATTCTTCTCCCGTTTTATTTTTCTTCCCTCCCCTCCCCTCCCCTCCCCCGCATTTGTTTTGGTACAATATACCACATTTCTTCTTCAAAGGGTTATATAAAATGGCGGGAACGTTGTGTATTCATTGATAAGTAAATAAAGTACTCGAGATACCGTCGATATAAACAAGGAAAAAAGGGAAAACTACATTACGTACAATGCATTTTTCTGTACGGCTTCTGATTATAAATATCGCATATCTCGCGAACAGCAGTTGTTACGAAAATATTTAAAATACAAACAGTTATGTCGCGAACATCCAGCAAGTGCTATAGTTTGACAGACATAATGTTCTGTATAAACGTCGTTAGTTCTTTACAAACGAGGTTAGATTAATAACGACGCGACGTATAGCTATGCATCGGCTTCGTACCGCGATGTATACTTATTTTTATTTGCGTATATTATAATCTTTTTTTGTACAATTCTACCACAGTACAGAAAAATTATTATTAACAAGCTCGTTATTATCAGACGAAGTTTAATGACATTTCAAAGAACGTAACTATTTTTTATTTTTGAGGAATTATAACATTGGTGGCAATTCTAATGTAACTAATATTTGACTTCTAAATGTTTTTAGGACAATTACCACCCACGATATCGCGATAAGTAAATATTATCTGGAATCGTAGAGCATAGCGTTTGAGTATCTCTATTTTTCTTGTAGTACAATTTTCTTTAAAAAAATTAAATGTATATGAAATAATTAGTGTTTTATTTTTTAAATAAATTCAAGGTGTAAGGAAAATGAATTCTAACACAAAATGATGAGTAATTCCTTGATACATAGGAAGATTTGCGACGAATAAGAATGTTTCTTGCAAGTAAGACATTTGTTCGAAACAAATTTTTATGACAAGATAGCGTAAATTTTAAATAATTTTACAGAAATTAAATGGAGTAATGTATTACGACGATGTCTAAAGGGATTAAGAGGAAGGTTTTTTACTATGATTAAGTAGATAAATATTGAACATGTATTTTAGAGCTCTATATTTGTGTTCAGGGGATAAAAGCAACGTCTGAAGGTGTGAATGAAATATCTTTTCTTCAAATTTGATATGTATACTGCCGCTCAAACGTATGTGAACACTTCCTCAATTGGAATAAGTATTTAAATAAAATTACGAATCTATTAACGAATATCACTTAAGTTTCTATATTTAGTTTGTATTGTATTAATTCAATTTTCTTTTCATTAATGTATCCACCACGTGCTCTTAATATTTCTGTTAGCAATCTTGATACATAAGAGATATTAATCTAGCTAACTAGTAATTTCTTCATTGTATTCGAAGTAATATTACTCCTTCTACTTTTTTAATATCTCATCACAAATGTTTTCCAAATATTTCTGAATAATCACATAGTTTCTCTACGAGACTTAAAATCCCACTCAAGATTTTAATATTATTAAATGTTAACAAATACACATTCGAAACAGAATATGGTAACAAATAATTTTCTAGCAATAATTCACGGTGTAACTATTCATTGAATGTGGAAAGTGTTCACACATTTATGAACGGGGGTGTACCTCACTTTTTTCTGAAATAACACTGATCATCCAACACTCATACTGACCTATATATTAGGTTGTCCCAAAAGTTTCTTCCATTTCATTAATAAGTAATACATACGCAATATTTTATGTCTAATTTTACATTATTGAACTGCGTACGATTCATTTTGCTCCATTACTGTTACAACATTAGCGTCTAAGAAATTAGGTTGTGTATTTACATAAACACTGCCACGAAAAATAGCGAGTGCAAGTCACGGAAGAAACTTTTGAGACAACCTAATAAAAAGACAAATATACATCCAAATTTATTTTTGTGAAAGCCTCCCAATTAATTTTAGTAAATCGACTTCGTTTATTACGGCATCACTTCAGTAATAGAGACTTGACAAGAAATCTCTGTAAACCTAGCGTCAATATACACCAATTTAGAAAATCCTGTTGCAAGTTGAAGACTACTTGTAAATGAACCGGTAGTTAAATCGTCAAAATCCGTGCGTGACAGTTGCCGTGACCTTCTCGTGAAATGATCACAATTTTTGTCTGAGTCTCCTAATTAATTTTATAGTAAATCAACTTGAATTACCAAAACTTTACTTCAGTAATAGAAATCTATCGAGAAATCTCTGTAAACCTAATATACACCAATCTAGAAAACCTTCTTGCAAATAGTGCACAAATTGCTAATAAATAAACGGTAAATATATAAAATCGGTGACAGTTGACGTGACTTCCTCATGAAATGCTCGCGCGGGACCATCGAGGTCGTCGGTTTCCGCAGTTTCTTTTATTCGTCGTCGTATATTTCACGGCCTCAAGGCTCCGTTTCTTTTCTCGCCTCGCTCTTGTTGTTCCTGTTGGACGCGCGA